TACTTTGCGTTGGGGACAGGAACCAGTTGCTGACCTGCCTAGATGCGATCATCAGGAAGATGCGATGCGACTAACAGAAGATCGGCAGAGGAAGAAAAAGCCCGGATGATCCGACTCCCCTGTGACTGCTGCTGGCCAAGTTTAGAAATTGTAGTAATTATTGTAATGTAGTAATGTAACTGTTAATATGTAATGTTGTACATCACCCAGAGTCACTCTGCTGTGTGAGATGGGCGGCTATATAAATATGAAAAATAAAAATAAATAAATAAACTTCAAATGGTCACTAAACAAGGCAGTCGTGAAGTGAGGACTACCTGTATAGGAACTCTATTCTTTGATATTGGCATTGTGGCTATCTTACCATAGATATGTCAGTACAAATGTGAAAATCTGGGTGTAAAGAACAATGAGTCACTCTAGCTTCCTTTCAAACTGACAGGCCCATGTAAACAATTTTTCCAAGCGTATGTCTCCACTGCCTCCCACATATCTCCTCTTTTCCTCAGTAGGAAATCTTGTCATCACCCGACATTCCAGCTTGGGCTCTTGCTCCAACACCATAACTTGTCCTTCCTCCCACAATGGCATTTTCTTCACTTCCTTTGCCCGTGGTCAAGATTTCAGGCTTCCGGGCAGGTGAACCTCTCAATTAAACACCATCCATAGTCTTTCATCAGAGTTGGGCTACACCTTTTTCACGTCACTGTGTTTGACTGCCTATCTGGAACTTTCAAAATCAAGATTGTGTTTACTTATTTTAATATGTTTGTTCAAAGCCAGGGCCAGACCAAGCAATGTTACTCCCTGAGGTGACACAGCAAAGGCTACCTAAATTATTCTGGCATTGGAGGCAAAAAATTCCACAAGCATCTCTCCTGAAGTCTGGCAGTAAAAATCCAACAAAAATAAGTGAATGACTAATAACACTAGTCATTAATAAACTCTGTTCCATCTCTCTGTGATGTCTCAGGTGTGAAGTACAGCTGGCTCAACTCTAGCATTGTAGGACATGGTTGGGTTTGCTTTCTTCTCTTACCTCTAGAGTTGAGTTTCTAAAATTGGATGTACTGGATCTTCAACAGTATGGGAATTGCATCCCCATCTAAACTTGGTACTTGGACAATCAGTTTCACAACAAATGTGGGGATATGAACTGCTTGAACAGAAATTACACAGAGATATTTGGTAGTTTGCTTGCTGGCATGTAACTTTTCCTGTTTGCAGCAGTATTAAGACAATATTTTTATTTTACATATAAATCTGTCCTCTTTTTTCTCCTAAAGTATTCTGTTTTTTCTCTCTCCCTTTTTCGTCTGCTCTTAAGAAACTATAAGCCAATTTCAATATGCATCCAACAAGCTAAAAATGAAAACAAACATTCATTCCCATTTGTTGCAGACCTGCCTAGACCTACAAAGAATCTCTCTTTGTAGCAGCCTTATTTGTTTATTACTTATAAATTAAAAGTATATTTCATCTTTCTGTTCAAACAATGTTCAAGGGATCTTAGACCAATAACAAAATACAAGTTGTAAAACATACTAAAACACACAGTTAAAATCAAATTAAAATCATTATTATTAAAATCAGTTTGGTTAACTCTCCGCCATGTAGCAAGTTTACTGTCACTGCCGCCAGATATCTAGCACAGCTTGAGCTCCCCAGTCAGCGGAAAGCATTCTCCTTAGCTCGTTGCCATGTTCTTCCTTCAGCAGTGCTGGATGGCAAATATAAAAAAATTCCACTAGCTGGAAGACTTTGCCCTTGTGATGCCAAGGAAGTAGAAGACATGGGCCATGTTCTCCTCCGCTGTATCTTTTACCAAGTCCCACGGAGTAAGTTGCTTGCACCCCTGAT